GAGAGAGAGAGAGAGAGAGAGACAACGTGAGCAGGGGAGGGTCAGAGAGAGAGGGAGTCACAGACTGAAACAGGCTCCAGGCTCTGAGCTGGCAGTCAGCACAGAGCCTGACGCGGGGCTCGAACCCACGAACCGCGAGATCATGACCTAAGCGAAAGTCGGACGCTTAACCGACTAAGCCACCCAGGCGCCCCTAAGATTTTATTTTTAAGTAATCTCCACACCCAATGTGAGGCTCATGCTCACAATCCCGAGATCAAAAGTGGCGTGCTCTACCGACTGAGCCAGCCAGCCAGGTGCCCGTCTGTGTTCCCTTCCGTTTCTTTTCAATGATGAACCTCTGATGTATTTCAAACCTGGGGAAGTTTGTGTTTCTGTTATCTCTAATATACTCTCACATGTGCTGTGAAAGGAAGCGACTAGTTGTCCATTAGACATGAGGAACAATTTCTCAGTTCCCAAAAAGATGCAATGGATAGCACCAAATGCCAATGGTTTAAAAGCAAAAATCCTAAATGCTTTGAATAATCTTTATCAGTTTTGTTGAGATATAATTCACATACAGTACAATCCACCCACCTAAAGTGTGTGATTCCAATGGTTTTTGTATATTTCATTTTTAATATTTTTGAATTGTGGTAAAACTATGTATAACAGACCTTGATACAGTGTGATATTAGTTTCAAGTGTAAAATTTAGTGGTTCGTCACTTAAATATAATACCCAGTGCTCATCACAAGTACCCTCCCTAATTCTCATCACCTATTTCATCCATTCCCCCACCCTCCTCTGGTAACCATCAGTTTGTTCTCTATATGGAAGAGTCTGTCCCTTGGTGTGCCTCTCTTTTTTTTCCCTTTGCTCTTTTGTTTTGTTTTTTTAAATTCCACCTATGAGTGAGATCAATGGTATTTGTCTTTTTCTGACTGACTTGTTTTGCTTAGCATAGTATTCTCTAGCTCCATCCATGCCATTACAAATGGCCAGAGTTCCTACTTTTTGATGGCTGAGTCACATTCTATTGTATATGTGTATACACAACTTCTTTACCCATTTGTCAGTTGATGGACATTTGGGCTCTTTCCACCATTTGGCTTTTGTTAATAATGCTGCTATAAACACCAGGGTGCAGGGTATCCCTTCAAATTAGTACTTTTGTATCGTTTGGGTAAATACCTAGTAGTCCAATTGCTGGATTGGAGGGTAGTCTTATCTTTAACTTTTTAAGGAACCTCCGTACTTACAAACCTTGGCATTTAACAGATACAATTCAGTGCCGTTAGTTACATTCAAGATGTTATTGCAGTCCTCACCACGATCTATTTTCAAACGCCTTCATCGCCCCCAAACATGAAGCTAAGAATATCACTATACTATAATGAGACACAGATGGAAAGAGTTTTGTTGATAAAAGAAAGTATTGGACCCCCCCCTCCACCCCCACCCGTGAATCCCTGTGAATGCCCGGGGCAGGTATCCTGCCCACCCCCTGCTGTCTGTTTGCACCTGGGCTGGGAGCAGCCGCCTTGTGGTCAGTCCAGCCATGACCTCAGGCTCCCTTCTGCTTTGCTCATCTCCAAGGCTGAAGGTTGGTCAGCTGGAGAGCTTCTTTCTCTTCTGGAGATCACAGCGACTGAGGAAATGTCACCAGGCACGTGAGCCAGAGGCCTTCAGATACAAGCCCTGTGTTTTGCATAAATTTGTGCAACCATGTCCTTTAACTTCATTCCCCACTCCTATTTCCAACTCCCCCGGGTAAACCACTTTCGTGTGTTTAGTGCACTTTTTTTTAAATGTAATTGTAAAATGCCTACGATTATTTTGTACTCCTGTATTTTAACTGTGCACGTTATCTAAATCTGGAACTAGATAAAGGGGTAAGGTTTCCTTTCCTTGTTTCTAGATTATCACCGAAACTGGCCTTTCCCCCAAATATCCTCCTGGACACACCTCCCTGACTTTCGTGAAGGAAAAACACACGCATGTCTCTTTACTAATACTCTTACCTTCAGCTGGATGTCTTTTGTGAGCAGCATGTAGCTTATAAGAGAAACTATATTCCCTGATTCCTGTCTTTTTAATTCTAAGTCACTATTCCAGAGGCTCTGTGTCCCTTAGGGTTCCTGGTTGCAAGCACAGAGGCTGATTCTGACTTAAGCAGGAAAGGAAGGTACTGAAGACATATCAGGTAGCTCACACACTCATGGGACAGCTAGGGGTCAAAAGAAGCTACATGCCAAGTGTCCCAGAACATGTCTGGGAAGGTCATTTTTGCTGCCAAGAAAGGGTTGATTCCGTAGCTGCCATCCTACCAACACCGCATATAAGCTGGTGCTCTGTCCCAGCTGCCTTTGGAAATTGGGTAGCACTACTAGAACAAATTCACCACTTTTCCATTGCTTTGGGTCAAATTCTGGGGCCGGTGCATCTGCTTGGCCAAACCTCAGACTAAAAACGAAATGCCTGGCTGGCTTTGTTAGCATCTGGAGTGGGAGGAAGACCCTGTCTCTTGCTTAGACTCAAATGGTGAGGAATTCCTCAAACATAGGTAGACAGTTCAGAGGGTGAGTGGGGAAAAAAGTTAGAGGTGTCCCCTACCGGTAGGAAGCATCTGGTGTTCTGAATGGGTCTGAATCACAGCTTAATTTTACCCAATTTAGAAGAATAATGTAAACTGGAGTTTGTTAGTCTCCCTTTCCCCCTGGTTTGAAAATGAAAAGATACACTTGGGCACTTTCTTTTAGCAAGTTTGTTCAGTCAGGTAAAAATTCTGACAAAATTTCACAGCATTTTGTTTTTCAAATTTATAATTTTGCTTTTGAAATATATCTATGCATTTCATAGGTGCAAGTGTTTTTTATAGTAAGCTTAACTGAAGTTTCTCTACAAGATTCTAATAATCTTTTTATTCTGAGCTAATATTTACAGCTTTGTAATTCTTTTTTTAACTTATTTTGAGAGAGAGAGAGCATGTGCACATACACAAACGGGGGAGGGGCAGAGAGAGAGAGAGAGAGAGAGAGAATCCCAAGCAGGCTCTGCACTAACAGTGCAGGGCTTGAACTCATGGATGGCAAGATCATGACCTGAGCTATAGTCAAGAGTCCGACCCTTAACTGACTGAGCCACCTTTGTCATTTTCAATGTTTGTTTTCTATTGCCTTTCATTTTTTTAAGCTGGCACTGTTAGACTTTTTTTAAAGTTTATTTATTTCGAGGAAGAGAGAGCACAAGCAGGGGAGGGGCAGAAAGAGGGGGAGAGAGACGATCCCAAGCAGTGGGAGGCTGAATCCCACAAACTGCGAGATCACTACCTGAGCTAAAATCAAGAGTCAGATGTTTAACCGACTGAGGCACCTAGGCACCCCTAGGTTTTCTTTTAAAAAGTGTATAGCTTATATTACTATAAGGTATATAAAAAATTAGTCAGAGTAAGAACAAAAAAAAGAAAAAAATACTGTTGTTTTTGTAACCAAATCCTAGTAACCTAGTAACAAGTTTTGTTAGTGAAACATCAGTGTATTTAGATGGTATTATGCCTCAGGTAAATAGGAAAATCATAATTCTTGTCCGTTAATAGCTAGTCTATATTTGTGTACTAGTTGGAAGTTTCACTCTTTTTATCCTGTGAAGTCTCAAAATCTTCGTTGGCTTCACTGATAGCCTATTTTTCTGGCATATTTAATAACTAATGGCATTTGAGCTGTCATTGCTGCTTCATACCAAAGGTACCTCTCACCATTTCCTGTGGCTTTATAGTGAAATGTACTATATTTCCTTAATGGCTTTATATCCAATGGCTGTCCCCCAAGCCCCAATCAAAGCGGTGAGAGACCCAGTGTAGGATCACGAGACAATTGTCAATTACAAAGCAGATGAGACTCCAGACCTCAGGATTTTCCTAGTCAGAGTAGATGTTTTCAGTAAGATAACAGGCACCAGTGAAAGAGAGCACTATTTGTGGGAGGGCGGGAGGAGGTAATTTGTGCAATTTCCTTTAAAATTTTAGAAATTCATGGTCCAGGGTGATGCTGAATCCTGTTGTTGTCTCTTGCTAGAATAGGCAAATGTCTCTGACCTTCCCCCCGCCCCCCGCAAGCCGAAGGATGCAGAAAGAAGCTGGTGCAGTAGGGGAAGGGGAGGCCAGTCAGGTGATTGGGGCAAGGAGAGGAGGGTCAGAGTAAGGGGGAAGGTTGGGGGTGCTAATTAGCTTTTCTTGTCTTGCCAGCAGTCTGTGGCAAGCAGATGGCTGCACCCTTAATACTACCCTTTTTCTGGCCAGCAGGCAGCAGTGGTTGATCCTGTGGTCATGCAGAGAGTGTGCTTTTTTTTTTTTTTTCTCTCTTCAAAACGTGGAAGTGGTGGAGGGACATACAAAGCAAAAATCTTGCTTTAAGTATTGTATGATCTCAGGAAACAGATCTTGTCTCCTTCCATCTTTTGCAAGGTGCCCATTAACTAGGCGCCCCTTCCTAGTTTGATAATATTAACTGGCAATGATGTCTTCTTTCTAGTATAAAAATCAGTGCAAACCAAACTGTGCTTGGGTGTCTAAAAAACAATAAAGTGACAAAAGCTGGCTGTGAAATTTAAACTCAACTCAACCTTGGAGAGAGATTGGCTTACAGGTAATTATAAAAATATGCAGGAGAGCACATGTCAGATGTCCTAACATTGGCTTTTCTTTACCTACGCTGGAGTTTTCTGTGGGGCGGGGACTGTGTCTGGATTACTCTGTAATGTCTCTAGGGCTGGCCATACTGGTATTCACTGAAAGTTTGTGAACCGGAATCAAATTCTAGTAAGTCAGTCACTACCCGTCCTACGCGGTATTTGTACGGCTATTGACTCTACGCCAAGATAAACATCAGTAAGCATGACAAAATACAACAGTTAACATTTTGAAAATGCAGTGTTGTTACAGGCACCAATTTTTCTCAGTACTTGGTATGAGGTTTTATATGCTAAGTTGGTGGGAAGCTTTTAAAATTGGGGAGTAAAAATTCTAATATCTGTTTTTGTAGAGAAAGGGAATGGAATAAATATTTACTTAGCACTGAATATGTACCAGTTACAGCGTGTGTATGTTAAGGTATTGAATCCTATCAACATCCCTATGAGGCAGTTCTTGCTCTGGGTCTTACAAAGGAGGAAATGGAGGTTCACAGATGTTAGGTAACACACTAGAGGTCACATAGTGTGTGACTATGCAAGATTCACACTTGGGTATTCTTGATTCTGAAGCCTGTGCTGTCCCAGCTTTCTGCTGCCTGAACCCTAAGAGATCTCCATTGGTCCCCCAAATATTTTCAGTTTTACTTGTCTAGTGATCGGTCAAATCAGCCTCTGAAGCATCTCTGTGTTCTTTCTCTACTCCAGTCTCAGTGAAAGAAAGAGATCTGGCATTCAGGTCTTCAACCGCTCAATCTCCTAACTCAGATCATTTGAGGAGCTTTAAGAGACAAATAAATGGGAAGTGCAATGGTGTGTTTCTGGTGATCTAGAACAGAGCACTAATTCTGATCATGATGTGCAATTCTGAAATTCCCTTCCTCCAAGTTTCCAAACTGTCACATTCACTTGTACTTATTAATATATGATAGATGTATCTTATTCTTATATTTGATTTTTGACCTACTGGCTGAACATCTTTTAGATGTAGTGCAATGTCTGATGTTAACCAGATTCCACCTGGGGTGGGTGATGTATCTATGGTTCTCTTTCTCATTGCTTAGCAGGCAATGCTCAATTTTTAAAATATGCTTTGTTAATCAGGCCGTTCATTTCCTGCAATGTCTTCATCAACAATCATGACCAAATTTGGAGGGAGCATTTGAGATGACATAGTAAACCTGAAACTGAAATAGGCCATTGGTAATTAAGGAGAAAAAGCTTTCCATTTTATGTTATTATTTGTTACACAGTACTATTTAATCAAGAATGGATAGTCACTAAAATAAATGTTATGGATCACATTCTTACTTTCAGACATGAATAATAAAAAAATAAGTTTTCCAAATGGAATTCTTACTTTTTTTTCTTTCATTGTTTATTGTCAAGTTGGTTTCCATAATAAATGGAATTCTTACAAAGCCTTTCAATAATTATCTTGACAAGTTTTCTGAGGATCTCTTGACTCATAACTCTGAGAGTCTTTTGCTCAAAGGAATATGCAGAAGTATCTCTTAGATAAGGTGGACTCATGAAAAATGAGAGATTGGTGAAGCCTAGGGTGCTTAGATCATCCTTACTGTATGTTGCTCTATTCCAATATGGATGCCCATTGGCAGAAAAGTAACAATATTTCATTATCTGCAGTGTCCCCCAAGGACATTCTTCTGCCTTAAAGAGTCATGATTTGTCTGAAATGACAAACCAAAGAGCAATATACTGGGTTCCAAATGACTGCTACAGGTGATAATGCCTCAGGAGTTCATAGAAGGAATGACATTTTCATTATTTTGGGGTGAAGCAGACATGTTGGATTCATTTTACTTCCAAAAATAAAAATGCTGGGCTCACCCCTGTGACTTGCCTTTTCCCTGTGGCAGTTGAGACCTCTCTTCTCCATTCCTCACTTTGAGATCAACCCAAATGAAATCACTTA